AGCCACAGTGGCGTTTCGCTTTCCTTCGTGTTACTCGGAAATGGGAACGGTAGTTCGTGTCCGGCTCCCGTCTGCGGGAACCAGCCGTTCTGAACCAAAATATAAAAAGTCACTTTGAAATGTCTCACGGGAAAATGTTGGCTTCCTGACTGGATGGAGAAGTGACTCCCCTGCTCGTCCGGACTCAGGCGCCTGTACCATGCGGGTAGCCCCCACCCCGGAGGCAAAGCCCTCCTTGACCTCCACAGACCTCACCATGTTCTCGCTGCTGCTGGTGTAACCCCACTCCGCTCCCTGGAAGCCTGTTTCCAGCCGCGTTACCAGGCCCGTCTCCACGGTGGAAACCCCTCCACCTCTCGCCTCTGCAACTCTGTGGTCACAGCCAGGCCAGCAGAGAACACACGGGCCGCAGCTGGTGCTTATCTGAGCAGAGTCCAAGGCCATCATGAGCATGCTTGGGCTGCTGGAGCGTTGAGACCACTTCCCATCACACTGACCTCCATGGTCTCTCTATCTGCGCTCCCAGTTGTTGTCTCGGCTTATACTTAGCCCAGATCCTCAAATATCAGCAACATTGCTCAGGCTAAGAAGAAAGCCACTGCCAAGCTTCTTTCCAGGTTCCAGCTCCCTCAACGGATGTAGCCTGCTGCTGGTAGGTGGATTTCAGTGGAAGTTAGGAGCCGAAATACCTTTGAGAATCTGGGCGTGAGCTCTGTCAGGCAGGGACAGGCGGTGTTCTCTGCTTGTACAGCTCCTAGCACAGTGGGGGCTTGGGTGGCGTAATGCAGAGAAATAGCAGGGATGGGAAAGCCAACAGTGCCTGTCTACACTAGTGCTCCCACTTTTGCTATCCCAGTGGAGGAAAGGCCTGAGGGCAGAATTTGGCCTCATGAGCATCTGAATATAGACTTCAGGCATCAGCCCAGGAGGGCAGTGACAGAACAGAATGCTTTCCCGTTTGATTTGATAGCTCGGAGACACGGGGGGGTATGTTTACATGGCAAGTAAAAACCCACAGAACTGAGCCTCCGAGCCCGAGTCTAGGAGTGAGGCTCATGCGAACGCACTAAAAATAGCCGCATAGACACTGGGGCTTGGGCTGGAGTCGGGGCTCTGAACCCGGGAGTGGGGTGAGCTTCACAGCCCGTGGTCCAGCCCCAAAGGCCGCACAGCTGTTTTTAGCGCTGTAATGCGAGACCCACAAGCCAGAAGCTGTAGACCTGGGCTCAGACTGGCTGCCGCAGGTTTCTGCTCACTGTGGAGAAGTACCCCCCGTACCTCCCGAACTACGGCGTACTGCTCGCTCTCAGTGGAGATGGCTAGTTCAGGGATAGAACCAGCCAGAACCACAAACAGGGTGTGCTCCGAGCAGGTAACTTAGGTGCTTGCTACCTACAGCAGCGGTTTTCAGCCTTTTTTCATTTGCGGACCCCTAACAAATTTCGAATGGAGGTGCGGACCCCTTTGGAAATCTCAGACACCGTCTGCAGCCCCCCAGGCGTCCATGGACCACAGAGTCAATGTCTGGGGATGTTCACAATGCTGTATAAGTCATGCATGCCTGGGCAGGCTCTGACCGGAGCAGGGCTGGCTGGGAAAGTTTTCCCAGCCCCTGACAATTTTCCCACTTGGATTCAGGAGAAAAAGTCAAAATCTGGAAAGTGTTGACAAGCTGGAAATCTAAAAACTTCATTTCAAAATGTTTCCCCGTGATTGAACATATCTATTTACTAGAACTAGCTTAACTGTCAAAACAAAAAGTCATTTTGAGCCTGAAAACGGCAATTTGTCATTTCAAAAATGTCCAAAGGAAACGTTTTGACAATTTCAAAACTTGAACTTTTTTTTGAGTTGAAAAATTCATCAAAACTGAGGCAAAACTGCAAACAAGTTTCGGTTCTGACAAAGTGGCATCCCCCCCCCAAAGAAAAAAGCCTCATTCAGTGAGGGGGATTATGGGTAGGGTCTCCAGGATCTAGATTTTAGCAAGGATTTTGGAAAGTGACTCGTGGTTCTGAGTGTCCGACTGGGGATAGCTCAAGGGGGCTGGCTATCAAAAGATCAGTTTTGAAGATCTGAGTCCACACGGGCCATTCATAAGCCACACTGCTCACGGATCACCACAGCACACGGCCCAGCACTTGGAGAGAGGTTTTTCCCTGGACGCGTTGAGGCGCAGATCTGGGGGCGCCAGCGCCAGGTGCCAGGCTGAGATAGGTGTGGTGGACATTCCATAGGACGAGATGGAACAGATTCTGGTCTTGGTTACATCAGTGCGTGACTGGGCCGGGAGGGTCACAGGAGATACCTGCTACCTGTCTGCGCCGAGCAGACTCTCTCTGCAAGCTGCCGGCTTGGAGAGTGGAAACTGATCAGTGAATCAAACCCGCGAGATGTCACAGGACGATGATGTTAGACTGGCCCCACCCAAACTGACAAGTTTTATCAAGTGGAAACCAGGCAATTCCTGGAAAATTTCTTGCATCTTAGGGCAGTGAGGTCTAGTAGTTAGAACCAGGGCTCCTGGCTCTGCCACTAAGTGACTGGGCAAACCACTGAAACTTGCTGGGCCTCCATTTCCTGAAATGCAAAACAGGGATCTAGCTTATTTATTCTGCAGGGAGAACAAAGCCGACCTGTTGGACTGGAGCGGGGAGAAAACACACGGAGGAATAGCCAGCCCAAGGCAGTGCAGAAAAAGGGGCCAGGTCATGATTCAGCGACCCCTCAAGAGATGTCTGAGTGAAGAGGAACTGGACGTTATGCCCTGGCCTCTGCTGTCAAGGTGCTGAGAATGAGCAACACGGAATGCCTTGCAAGGGGTTTTCCTCCAGTATTCTCAGCCTTTCCTTCCATCTCGTTCCCTAGCTTATTTATCATGCCTGCCACCATAGTACCCAGAGCTTTGATTCTACGGGTCATGGGCCATACACTCGGGATGCATTTGACCCGGTAATATTTGCCTCACTGAGAGATTTAGCAGGCAAAATTATTCATGTTTGTAAAGCACTTGGAGATAACAGATCCATCAGGGGAAAGGTCCCCGCACGCCCCCAAAGGAAGATGGGAACATGAGCCCAGGGGCAGGACTGGGCGGGTGGGAGGAGCCAAGAACATTGAAATAAATTGACAAAAATACTCAGCATTTTATTTCATCCTCCAAACCAATGAAAATATACATCCGGCAGTACCATGGCACAGAGTGTGCGTGATCCCCACCCCAGTAGAATACAGGGTGATGGCATACAGTAACGGATGATGCGCACGGCGGATTCCACTTGCAAGCAGCAGTGGCTGGCAAGAGAGGGCCGCGCCGGCAACTCCAAAATGCCCAGGAAAATCAGGAAGAGAGATTGCGACGATTAAAGCCAAAGAACCGAGCAGACTTTATCCCAACCCCAACCAGCCCTCGCAGCCCAAGGCACGTTCTCTCCTGGGAATGTTGCTTGGACATTCTTGTGCTTGCCGCTCTCAAACACTGCACTGGTCGGAGGGGGAGAGGGGGGGCTGACTTCTCCCCGATGAGTGACCGGGAGTCACCATGTAGGTTGCAGCTGATCTCCCCAGCAGGGCTCTGAAAGGGCGCTTGGCAGAGAGCAGAGGTAGGTGCCCCCTCAGACCTGCGAGAGGATAACCTGGCCTTTCCTCACAGACCAGTCCCGGCTGTCTGACGGACCAGAGCTGCGTTCCACCAGCGCTAGGAGCAGGAAAAGCGCCTGCTGAAGGCACCCAGCATCTCCTGACCTTCCCAGCTGGCTCCTAGACCATCCCGCATGTTCTGCTGGGGAGGACCCAGGATGGCCTCTGCCTGGTTGCAGACACATCACCCAGGGTCCTTCCCTATTTCGGATGCCCTGTAACCCTGCCACGGGGCCTGTTCTCCGTACTCCACTCCCCTCCCCAACTCCATGCCAAAGAAAAAGGAGAATTAACAAGCACGGGGAGTGTTTCTAGGTAGAGTTTCCCATCTGCCGTTACTTATCAGCTGTGTCCCAAGGAGGCAGCTATCGCTGGATGATTGAATGGCCGTGCTCTGTTCTGGCTTTGGCCAAAGGGTCTTGGCTCGTAGGACCAAGAAGAAGGTGGTGCCTGACGCAGCACCCTGCTAGCTCTGTTCAGCCAGACATTCAGGGATGGGTTTATCCACCTCCCTGGCGAACCCCCTTGGGGCAGGCTCCTGTCATCTCGGTGAGTCTGCCCACCGGGCTCACCCCTCACTCACCCCACACGCGGCCATGTCAATGACTTGGCAGCCATTCCATCCCTTGCCCCTCCCCCTTCTGCTCCCGGCCCTGGCTTCCTCTCCCCTTCACAACACAGGCAGGCTTCCTGCTCTGCCCTTCGATCCTCATGAGGCCTAAACCTACCCTCTGAGCCCGGCCCACTCCCTCTGTATCCTTCTCCCGGGTATTCCAGTGCCTTTCCCAGGCTGTCTCCCTCAGGCCTGGGAGCCCCTCCACGTGCCAGCCCTCCGCCCCCTCCTGGCTCCCAACACATTTCTGACACAAAGGTCATTGGTGTTAATTCACCAGGCGATTAATCTTCTGCTTTGCTGCTGCGGGACGGCCGGCCAGCCGGTGCTCTGTATCCGAAGCACAGGGTCTGTTTAGGTTGGATGCAGAGTTCTTACGTTTTGGACAGCACCAGGCCATCGGCTCCCAAGAAGCCAACCAGCGATGGTGGACTCTACTCCAGCTCAGGGCAGTAGCTGGGAGAAAGGGCCAGGCTACGGGACACAGGGCCTTTAGGTGCTCAGACACTGCAGTGATGAGATTGGTAGGAATATCTATATCGTACGTAACAGCTCTCCGTCCCTGGTCTGGGTCTGGCCCAGGTTGGTTGGGACTGAATGTCACTGGTAGCCAATGGCTCTTTAGTGGGGCTCAGTGCAGATCTCCACACCACAAAATCCACCATACAACGCGCCCTTATTCAGAGACAGCAGACTAGGCCTAGAGCCCAAACTTCCTCGGAGGGGGTCACCTGCAGGTCAGGCAGGTCAGGGCCGAGGCACGTTGGCAGAGCAAGGGAGGGAGCAGGCCCTGGCACTGCTTGGCTTGGACCCCGGCTCGGGCGAGCAGGAGCATCTGGTCCCTGGGGCTCTCACTCCAGCCGCACTAAATTCACACCCGCCAAAGGAGTCAGAGCGACGCTACCCACAGCCTTTGCCGCCGGCACTGAGCCTGGGTCCGATGCAGCTGGGGAGATGGAACCGCCAGAATCTCCCAGCTGGCCCTTGCCTGCACATGGGCACCTGCACTGAAATGGACACGACCAGGGATCTGGGACTGCCCCCTCTCCCCAAACCACGTGGAAACCTGCCTGGTAGCATCACTCAACAGCCCCACGAAAAGCCACCGCTGCCTGGAGGCGGGCGCGCTAATGGAGGTGGAGCACTGCTCTACTCAACCCACCTGGAGAGACTTTGGGGCGGTCTCATAAGACAGGGGCTTGCCCACGAAGGGTGGGCTCTCGTAGGTGCCGCCGGGGTGATGCGCTGTGCTTCCAACCCTCCAAAATAAGACCTTGTCCTCCGCGAAATCCAGGAAGCTACAGCAGTGCCCCTCCAGCTCCCCCTCGCTGATACTGTGTAAATCAGGAGCCGCTCCACTGAAGCCAGTCCAGCTACCCCAGTGTAGCAGGGAGACTATGGCCCTGTATATCCTGGGATTACAGCTCCTCTTCCAAACAGCCAGCCAAGCTGCAGTGCCCCAGGCGAGGATGGGACCCAGCTGTGCACAAGGAGACCAGTGACGGCCCTGGGAGGGTGGTCGAGGAGATACCCGTCTGGCTGGGCTGGGCTTCGCTCCTTACCCCCTGGCTTCACCCTCTGCGGTCGTGCCTGGTCAGCTGGAGGCACCGCATCTCCGAGAGAGGGGCCCAACCTGGAGCCCCACATCCCAACGGCACAAGTTCGGATCCAGACCCGGTCTCTGCAGCTCAGACCTGCCTCAAGCACTTGCTCACGCTGACGGTTCCTAGGAGCCAAGGGGCAAGATTTCCAAGAGGAACTAGTGATTGGGGAGGGGATGGGGGGGGACATCTTACTTTTTTGGGTGCTCAACCTGAAAGGCCTTAAAGGGGAACATCTCTCAGAAGCCAGGTGCTCTGCACTTTGGGCTTCTGGCCCATTGAAGGTTGAGCCCCCTCCCCCTGCAGTCACTAGTCCCACCTGTGATGGGGGCATATCCCCCCCATCCTTGGCCGCCCAGGAATTGCTCAGGCTCTCTTAGTGTCCACTCTGTATAATTTATTCAAGTCCCCTCCACCAACACCCCTCCACCCCGCCTAAGCTCTACGACTCTCTTGCCTTCAGCCCCTGTTCAGCAGGGCCCCGGGAGGAAACCAGATCTCTCTTCCTTGGGATCTCCTTCAATCTAGGCACAGCTCTAGCCCCGTCTCCTGCCACTCCAACACGGCCTCCCTGCCTTTTATCCAAGTAATTCCCTATCTCAGCCCGCCTCCCAACCTGATTAGCTAATTCCTCCCTACCTCCTCAAGTAGTCGTCACACGGGAAACGATCAGAGTGTTGGCCCATCTGTCGGGCCTCAGCACTCTGTCACAGCACCTTTGGAGGCCTTGGCCAGGGATTGTGCAGGGTGAACAAAGCCGACCTGTTGGACTGGAGGGGGGAGAAAACACACGGAGGAATAGCCAGCCCAAGGCAGTGCAGAAAAAGGGACCAGGTCATGCTTCAGCAACCCCTCAAGGAGATGTCTGAGTGAAGGGGAACTGGAAGTTATGCCTTGGCCTCTGCTGTCAAGGTGCTGAGAATGAGCAACACTGAATGCCTTGCAAGGGGTTTTCCTCCAGTATTCTCAGCCTTTCCTTCCATCTTGTTCCCTTGAAAGGGAATACTGGGAAGCGGAAGTGGGGGTCAGGAGCTCAGCGGAGACCCTCCCTCTGGAGAACTCCTGTTCCAATCCCAGGGCCACAGCAAGGAATGTCCACTGTCAATCAGCACATGACTGTTACCCGTGGTGGTTCCTGCCGAGAGTCTGGGGCTACGGCCAGAGCCCTGGTGAGGCAGCAGGTGCGGGAAAGGTGCTGTGCTGAGTCGGGCAGGGCAGTAAAGAAGATCCCATCCCTGCATCAGTCGGCCTTGCAGAAGAAGGATTCCTAGCCACACGGACCAACATCTTACCCCGTCGACTCACCTGGGTCCTGCCCCCTCGGCTCCCACTAACTGCTCCTGTCCTGGCACTTGAGAGGAATGACAGATCCATGGAGAGGCTGCTGTGTTATTTGTGCGTAATCATCCCACTCCCCTACAATCCCCACCCTTCGGTATTTTTGGAGGCATTTTTAACAGGATCCTGGCCGCAGCAGCGCAAGCACAGGGAGGTCCTGGCGATGTCTCAACGAAGGACGCTTTTGGTTTCCTCTCGAGGCACATCACGGCCCTCCCTGCCCAGCGTTGCTCCCAGGAGCCGGTAGCTCATCTGGCCCCAACACTCGCACCAACTGCAGGACTCCAGAGGCCGTCGGCAGCTCGGGCAACGAGGCCGCCCTAGAAACGTTTGTCTTCTGGCTGGGAGCTGACCACCAGCTCTTTGTTGCCGAAGTCCCACCAGGCGGTCATGTGGAAAGCCATGTTGGAAAGGACGACCAGGTACTCCAGGAAAGCGAAGATGGTATAGGCTAGGAGAGGAAGGGAGGAAACCCATCAGATTAATGGAGGAAATGGGGCAGAGGAAAGGGAAGACCTATGAATGCGAGTGAGACCATGTCTCTCTCAACGTGTTAACCGAGCCTATGGCACTACGGGGACTGAAGCCCGTTCCAGCCCAGCCCGGCGGGGTAGGACAGGAAGCCGTTACTTTCTGATGGCCAGTCTCTGATGGCGGATCTCTGTCCATAATCTAGCAGGCGTGCGTCTCCAGCACCACACCCACTGCAAAACCCAGCAATGCTGGCAGCCTTCCCAGAAAGCCAAGGCCTGAGTGGGAGCTGGAGGAGACTGATCGTATCCAGAAGGGGTCAGCAGGCGGGGGCAGACGCACGCTAGCAGGGAAGCGAAGGGAAAGCGGCCCCTGCTGCGGCTGCTCTTGGATTCAGGAGAAGGTTGTGATACGGGGCCCAGCGGCTGGGTCCTCAGGGACCTTACCTCCGGCCTCGCAGTACCAGTTGTGGTGGAAGTAGACGCACACGGCCAAGGAGAACGTGACGAGGTTAAAGAGGAAGAGCAGCAGCTTCCACTTGTAGGACTTGCGCTCCTGGAAGAGACCGACAGGACAAGGTCTGACCCCCAGAAGCTGGGTTAGAGGAGTAGCCCCTTCCCCTTCCCAGACCACTCCCAGAAGTCTCAGCAGAGACCTCCCACACCCTTCTGAGAGGCCACGGCCCGGACCTCCGATCCCTGGGCCTGCAGAGGCGAGGTCCTGAGCCCCTGGAAATGGTCCGCGCTGCACGGGTCACACGGCAACCCCCCCACGGCCTCTCGGCAGAGCCCAGGCATGACAGCGCAGCTGGCACCCATTAGAACAGCGCCCCCACGTGGTGGCGACTAAGCTCCCATCAATGGCACAGAAAGCTGCCCGCACAAACAAGCAGAGCCAGCCCCCTCGGCGCTGGGTCCCTGCTAATTCTCTGCCATCTTCTCCAGCTGTGCACCCCTAGACTCTTGTAACAGTCACCGTCCTACCCGGCAAGGCTGGATCCAACGCCACCGACCAATTATCCTGCTGCCTTACAACGTACAATAAATACGATTTTCAAACAGGTGAAGAACAATTTTTTCCTGTGCTGCTCTGCCAGGAGCTGGAGCTCGGGGCTCTGTTTCACCTGCGAGCGCTGATCCAGAAAGAGGGGCACTCTAGCAGCGAGCTAGGGTTAACACCAGCTCTGACACTGGCGCATCGTGTAGCCTCGGGGAAGTCATTTAACCTCCCTGTGAAGTGGATATAATGCTTATTTAATCAATGGGCGGGTGCGTGTCTATGTGCAGGTCATTGGACTCTGCAGGAAGGAATCAGGCTGCTCAACCACGTGTCATAGGCCCTATACTGCCAACAGCTAAAATAGATTCTCCATTAGCTCCAGGGGTTGGTGCCTGTGCTTTTGGAGGGAGAGTTTGCGTGCCCACAGCATGCCTTGCGGTGAGGAGTGGAAATCCTGCTGGAGGTGCCCATGGATGTTACAATGCTCCCCCCCTGCTCCCACTTTGGTTACCAGCGCCCCCACTGCTGGATTCTACCCCTCTGCAGGCGGCCCGGCTCCCTCGGCGTTGAGCCCAGCCAAGGTGCAGTGGGTTCACCAGAAGAAAGCAGGCTGCCACGGCTGCTCCTCCCCCGGAGCCGTGCCCCGCTCGCTTGCCACTGGGTAGGGGAGGAGGAGGAGGAAACCACACCAAGGAGCAGAGCTGGGGCGGGTGCAGAACCGAAGGCATTTCACAAGCAGCACAAAGCGCCGGGGCGGGCTCCTCCTTCCTACCCCTGAGGAAGGGGTGGGGCCACGGCTGCTCCATAGGGGGTCTGCATCTCCCGAGGCACACATGCAGAATCTCCCCGGGGGTGGGGTGTGTGTGTCACAGCCTGACTGCTCCGGGGCCCTCTAGCTCCACTGGTAGCCTGCAGACCCAAGTAACTGGCCACGTTCCCCAGAACACAGGGGTCCAGTCTGCCAGGCTCTGAAAGGCGCAGCCACGGGCAAGCTGGAGCAGCCCCAAGGTCCATCCTGGCCTCCTCAGTGTCAGCCCCAGACACCTCAGAGAGCCACGGACCTGCCTGTCCGCAGGGCACCTCCCAACCCCCCAAGAGGTGGAGGTGAGTTTAAGCCTGAAGCAGCCAGGTCAGGGGAACGCTGCCTCTCCTTGGGCAGTGAGAACTACCCCCCCCCCCACACCCCCTTTCCCCCCCTCCCCCCCCCCCCCCCCCCAAAGATCTAGCAGTAGCTCTCTCCTCCCTCTCACGCTGCCCACAGCCAACCGGGGGACGCAGACCCAAGACACTGGGCAAAGGAAACAGGAGTCATATCATATGGAGATATACCTATCTCATAGAGCTGGAAGGGACCTTGAAAGGTCATTGAGTCCAGTCCCCTGCCTTCACAGCAGGACCAAGTACCGTCCCTGACAGATTTTTGCCCCAGATCCCTAAGTGGCCCCCCTCAAGAATTGAACTCATAACCCTGGGTTTAGCAGGCCAATGCTCAAACCACTGAGCTATCCCTCCCCGGAAGTCATCACTTCAGCCTGCCCGCCCCCTGGAAGTGCGGCTTTCCTGGCTCAGCCTTGCTGATGGACGAAGGCACGCAGCCCGGGCGGGGCATGGGATGGAGTCGGACTGGGCGCTGAGGAGGGGGCTGCTCGCACCTTTCAGAACCTGCCTCTGGACAGCCGTCACCGTGGGGGCTGGGGGGCAGCGAGCGAGACCAGGCCGGCCAGGAAGCCTGTATCAGGGCCGTCGGAAAGGGGACACACACCGGAGCCACAGCTGCATTTTATTCCAGCTTCTCAGCAGTGGGAGGGGATTTTCCTCCTTTCTGAGGTTTCCAGCACGGCAGAAACTCCAAGCCATGGGGCCTGCTGAGAAGTAGGAACATTCAAATCACAGCATCAGAGTTTCCATGACCCCACCGAAAGCGCGGTAGGTGCTGCCAGCCGCTCTCAACACACAAACAGGTGACGCCGGGGAGGAAAACCCCCAGAGGAAGGATGGGCTTGTGGTTAATGCACCGGCTGGGGACTCAGGGGACCCGCGTTCAACCCCCTGCTCTGCCACAGACTTCCGGCGTGACCTTTGGCCTGTCACATTCTCCCTCAGTGACCCAGCTACTTAATGATCTTTCCTGGCCTCTCCCCTCTGTTCAGACTGCTGGGGCCGTCTCTGACCGGTTCCCCATCGCTCTAGGGGAGGCTAAGATGTCACTAATTCCTGCATCATCCCCCCAGTGTATTGTCCTGGTTTTACTAGACAAAAGAATCACGTGAAAGATACTGGGCCAAATATAAGCGCCGCTAGAGCAGGGCTGAACCAGACTCTACTTCCCAAGAACGGAAGGCCCTATGGGAGAAGTTCCGGAGCTTACCTAAGGCAGGTGGCAGAAATCCAGGTTGCCCCACTCTGGCTGGTGCCCATCCCTAACCAGTAGGTCGCACTACTTCCCAGCCCCACACTCCACATCTGCTAGGTCCCCCCCCCCCCAACGCCCAAGCCTGCTACTCGGGGGTGGAAGATGCTCTGAAATGGGACTCAGGCTGCTCCCCATCATTGGGAACAAGAGCGCTTCCTCCCCTCCCCGCCCGAGGAATCCCCAAATTCCCCCAAATCCGGGCCTATGGCAGGAGGATACATTCCCCTAGTGCAGAGGTGGGCAAAGTACGGCCTGCGGGACTGTCCTGCCCGGCCTCTGAGCCCCCAGCCCCTCCCCTGCAGCCACGCCACCGTGCGGGCAGTGCTCTGGGCGGCTGGGCTGCGTGCTCATGCAGGGCAGCGTGGTGGCGTGTCTGGCTCTGGCCGGGAGGCGCGGCTCCGTAAGGGGGCCGGAGCTGGAGGATTGGATATGGGGCAGGGGGTCCTGAGGGGCAGTCAGAGGACAGGGAGCGGTTGGATGGGGCAGAGGTTCGGGCGGGGGCAGGGAACTGGGGGGATTGGATAAGGGGTGGGGTCCCAAGGGGGCCTGGCAGGGGGCAGGGGTGTGGATGGGGTCGGGGCAGTCAGGGGACAGGGAGCAGGGGGCGAGTTGGATGGGGCAGAGGTTCGGGGGGGGATGGGGGGAACAGGGGGGATTGAATAGGGTGGAGGGGCTGTCGGGGCGGGGGTGTGGATAGGGGTCAGGGCAGTCAGGGGACAGGGAGTGGGGGGGATGGTTGGATAGGGGGTGGGGTCCGGGGGGGGGATTGGGGGCAGGAGGGAGCGGTCAGGAGACAAGGAGCGGGGGGGGGTTGGATGAGTGGGGAGTTCTGAGGGGGGCAGTCAGGGGGCGGCGAGTGGGAGGGGTCAGGTAGGGGGTGGGGACCAGGCTGTTTGGGAGGCACAGCCTTCCCTATCCGGCTCTCCATACAGTTTCGCACCCCGAGGCCCTTGGGCCAAAAAGTTTGCCCACCCCTGCCCTAGCGGCAGAGCTCCCAGCAGCAGGGCTGGGGAGGAGGATGGGATTTCATTTGAAATGAACTGTCGCAGAACAGGGGGGTGGGGCCGGATCGCCTGAGTGCCAGGCCCACATGTGAAATAACAATGAGCCCTACAGGCAGCAAGCGATTACGTAAAACTTCACACAGGAAAAAGCGGCTCACAAACCACCTTGTTTTCATACAGGCCCCTCTGGCAGCGGAAACGTGACTTTTCTGTAGGCTAGCAGCAAGAACAAACAACTGAGGGCTCATTAACTCAGCAGCAGCTCGCAGCCCTTTGATCCCAAGCCCTGCAGCCGCTGCACTGCACAGGGACTGTGGCTCCACCCTTCCGACCAGCAGAACCCAAATATTTCTGCTTCTCAAGGCACGACCCCGCTAAGAGCTAAAGGCCAGAGCTCAGACCTAAAAGGCCACTTGGTCTGTACCAAGGATCGGGGATGCTTCAGCTCTTGATCTCACAACAGCCAGGGAAAGAAGCACCACTGAGAAGTTTCTCTAGCCAGCAGACGTTTCCATCCCTGGGGCTTTAGCCAGGTGACTTCGCTAGCTCTGCTGCTAGGTCAGATCAAGACTGGTCGGTACTTGGACGAGGGGCCCCCGAGAAATGCTCGGGTGCAGCAGGAAATGGTGACTGAGAGTCAAGGGGTCTCCAAGGAACAAACCAGCCCCCAGCAGAGAGGAGGAAAGACCCGTGGTTGGCTGTACATGCCATTTTCCCAGAGGAGATATCCACCCAGAATCCCGACCATTAAAGATCCCGGTGCCGTTAAAGATGCCGTTAAAGATCCCGGTGCATTTCCCGTAAGAGTTGGCAGCTTAGCTCCAACGTCCTGGTCAAACGGCAGCTCAGGCGACTCCATTCCGCCTGCCTACATTTCCTCTGTCGTTTCAATTAGACAAGTTAGCCTGCACGTCCCGTCCTATAGCCTGCCGTGTAGCATCGCCACGTCCCACCCCAGAAGCAGCTGCATTCTAGTGGGCGGGCAAAGGCGGGCCCCAATCCCTGCCTACACAGTCTGGGAAGCATTTAAGGATCTTTCTGGATGACAGGTGCATTTACTCCGACAGGAGGTACAAACTTCCTCCTCTACCTTGTAGAGACCTCACAGCATTCAGTCATTTTAATACCCTCACAAGAGC